TTCCTTCCTTCCTTCCTTCCTTCCTTCCTTCCTTCCTTCCTTCCTTCCTTCCTTCCTTCCTTCCTTTTTTTATTTCCAAATTTTCTACAGAGCAGAAGTCATGCACAATTTTGCTTTATTCTCCTCTGTATTCATATATGATGGCCTCAAGATTATTTTTCTATGGTGTTTTACCAGTGCACAGAAGCACAATTCATGTGCACTGCCATGGCTGATAAAAGGGACCTTGATGTCGACGAGTTTTGCCCAGATGGCTTTTGGGCACTATTATGTTCAACAGCTAACACTCCACCGACTTGAGCCCGTAAGTACCAATTGCTATTTGACCCACAGATGTTTCCAGACTTTGCTAAGAAGCTTAAAGCTCTCTTAGGTATCCCCCGTTCCTTTTACTGAATGATAGGCTCTGCTTTTAAAACCATGTCTTTGATCAGCCACCAAAACCGATGTCAAAAGTTGTCTGACCCCCAGGCAAGATACTTAACCAGGACGAGGTTCCTCAGATGTGTTTGGATTTTCCTCCCTAAAAACCTGCCAAGCCAAATGATACGGTTTGGAGGGCTTCCTTCATCCAGGCGGGTGTGAGATGTGTGTTGAAAGATAGGCAAAGGGGCTTGTTTGAGAAGGAGAGTAAAAGTTGGTAATGAAAACCATGGGGAGGGGGCGCAGGGGGGTGCCCAGTGGGAATATTCCAAGGCATGAAATTGGTTCGATTAGGATGGATGGCCCAGCTAAGAAAAAGGGGGTTAAAAAGAAAAAAAACCCCACCCTATTTTGGTGGAGAAAGGGGAAGAAAGGGGAAGATTTGACAAGGCGGATTTTTCGCCTGTTCAAAAACGGATTGGATTTGACAACCCAATTCCAAAGAAATCCAGGGAACATCCTGTTTGAAGAAAGCTGGAGTTTCCTTTCTGTGCAAGGGTCATCCAAAATGAATGTTCAAGCCACGCCGGAACACTGATTTATATTAATGTTTCTCCAGGGGACTATAGATCTAAGGATGGTCACCCTGTTCTCTCTCCGGCTTGTTTTCCTAGTTAGGCAGAACAAGAAATTGGCCACTTGAAAACAGAAGAAAGCAAACTGGGTCAGATCAGCAATTCTTTTCACCCAGCAAAGCACTGTCAGCACTGGCTGATTCAGATTTTGGGCGTTTTTCACACACAACTTCTATTTTAAATTTGCTTTTAATGGTTTGGAGATGAGATAGATAGATGATAGAGATGTAGGTAGGTAGACAGACATAGCTATAGCTAGATAAGACAGATAGATAGAAATAGAAATAAATTCCAGGTTTTTTGGGGGGCAGCTTTTTAAAAGGATCTCTTTCCTCTCTGCCCTAGAAATGTGAGGGTTTTTTTACACTTTTTTAAGGCTAAAAATATACAAATGAAGTGGTGAATGGTGGCAGTAGGATCCCCAAAGCACAACTTCCCTCTAAAGCAAACAGAATAAAGAGGCAGTTCTCAGAGACACAATTCTCTTTCCTCAGACATAATCAAAATGCAAAACCAGATAATCTTTTCCTGCCCACGAATCCCCAGATAAGAATGAATTTAACCTTATGTATATTTGTTCTCCTTAACTAAGGGTTTGGTTTCACAATTCACTTTATTTCACTGTTTTAGGTTAGCCTCACATGCTGTGTGAATCCGGCTTCAGGAAAAGAAAAAGAAAAAAAGACGACTCTCAGTGATCTGGATACATAAGACGCTGGCTGGGTTCGCATAACATACTAGTGAAAAGAAACATCAAACTTTGCCAGTGTTCTTGGCTGGACATCAGGCCACATTCCTAGTAATAAAAGCTGTTTAATAGTGGATCCGATGGCTTCAGACTCTCCTTTACTGCTGGTGTTTAAAAGAGCTCAGATGGGGATGTTGGGGAAGCAGATCCCTGCCCGGGGCAGCGGGTCAGACTAGATGATCTCTAAGGTCCCTCCCGGCCTTCAGATCAGTGTTTCTCCACCTTGGCTGCTTTAAGATGTTGGACTTCAACTCCCAGAATTCCCCAGCCAGCATGGCTGGCTGGGGAATTCTGGGAGTTGAAGTCCACACATCTTAAAGCGGCCAAGGTGGAGAAACACTGCTTTAGAGTCTGTGATTTTATGTTGTGTGAATGTGGCCAGCAGGCCAAGCCTGTTCTGGGCTTAGTAGAGTTTTAGCAAAGTACCCTCATCTGACCCCACGGCCGTGCTCTGGCACATTCAGACTTGCCCTCATTTGGGTGGCATGTTTAAAAAGGCCCCCGCGGGGAGCGAAGGTGGAGTCGCAGTGGCAAAGAGATACCCTGAAAAAAGCCAAAGATCGCCTTTCTTGGCCCCCCCGCCCCGGCATGACCATCCGAGGAGACCGCCAGCAGCTGTTCCCAGAACTATTTCAATTTTGGTCTCAGCGGCTTGCTGAGATATTGACACCAACAATGGGAGGGCTTTATTTTAGTCCCCGTCCCTTCCCACCGCTTCCCCTCCAGCCTCCCCCGGAGTAAGAAGAGCGCCATTGTCCGCGGACAATCCTGTGCTGACGTCACCTTTTTGAATGGGACCAAAGAGGGCGCCACAATGGGAGCCATTGAAAAAAACACACGGGAAAGGCCTCATTTGCCTAGCCACACCCCTTCGTTTGCATGTCCCGCCGCCCAGGGTCTCTTTCCCAGAGAACCGCTTGGGCATGAATGAACGCCGGGCAAAGTGCTACAGAGTCAGGCAATGTGGGAATCGTGCAATGTGGGGTGTTCCTCGGGGCGTGTGTGTGTAGATCGCCGAGAGCTTTTTCTTTTCCAGGATCCCCCCTTGCTTCCCATGCTCCACATAAAAGAGATTAGTGGTTATTATGCCAGGGGGGGGGGGGGGGAGGCTTCCCCAAAATTCCTTTTTCTAAACTTTTTTTTTTCAATTTCTGGAGGCTTCGGTTATATATGAGGATTGGCGCACAAAGCCTGGATATCTGAAGCAGGGCACGTGTAAAAAACACCCTGTGTCGGTTGTTTTGGGTTATACTGTATGGTGGGGGTTTTGGGGAGGTGCGTGATTCTTTTTCCCAGTTTTATGGCTTTCTTTACTTTTAAATTGTAAACTACCCAGGTTTTTCTGAAACCGGGGAGTCTCTAAATACATACATACATACATGCATACACACATATAGATGTATTTGTGTGTGTGTGCAGTAATAAAATAATAAAAAACAAATAAAATAAATAAAATAAAAAAGTAATAAAATCTGTAATAAAATGGTGCAGCATGCAATTTCCTCTATTCCATTTCCCCTGCAACTTTTCTTTTTCCTTTCCCCCACCTCAACATCAAATCAGTATTCATGACTACCGGTTTGGATTCTCTTGTTCCCAAAGTTCTTTCTCTTTTTTACAAAAGATGTTTTGCAGTTTTGCAAACCGTGGAGTTATTCCCAAGCCTACTGATACCTCCCTGTTGCGCACAGATGCTGCTGTTTTGTTGACCCACCCACTCTGGTACCACACAAGGCCCTTTACAGGGCTTCACCCTGTCCTCCAAACCCAGATTGGCCATTACGTAAGTGTTTGGGAACCAGACCTCATGAACATGGCTTGTTGTGGGCTTACATTCTGGTTTCCATACATCCCCCCGTACTTTTAATTAGACTCTTTTACTTAGCCCAGCATTGAGATATATTCTTACAATCTTATATATCTACTGAATTGATTTAATTGGAGGTGATTTTTTCCCTTCTTTTTCTGACCAGGGGACTATATGAAACAGGGGAAAGAGATGCGCTATTTTTTAAAAAACCTTTGTATGAAACCTTGGCTTCTGTAATTTTGTAACATCACCTTAAATCCCAGTCAAGGGAGAGATCCCATTAATAAACAAGGAACCTTTACAGAAGAGAGGGATGGAAGAAGGAGAGAAAGAGAGAGAGAGGGGAAAGGAGGAAGGAAAAGGAAAAAAGGAAGAGGGAGGGAGGGAGGGGGT